TCGGCTCACCGCAACCTCCGCCTCCCGGGTTCAGGCAATTCTCCTGCCTCAGCCTCCTGAGTAGCTGGGATTACAGGCATGTGCCACCATGCCCAGCTAATTTTTTGTATTTTTAGTGGAGATGGGGTTTCACCATGTTGACCAGGATGGTCTCGATCTCTTGACCTCGTGATCCACCCGCCTCGACCTCCCAAAGTGCTGGGATTACAGGCTTGAGCCACCGCGCCCGGCCGTCTCAATACTTTTTAATTTGCCCTGCTGACTGGAAACCTAGAACTTGGCCTTATGGCTGATAATCAGATAAGTACGGCAGGTTTTTGCAAAGAATCATGCTTGACAAATGCTTGAGGGCATATGAATTTATTGAAGGAAGTATTGTCAAAACAAGTCTGACAAAATTTTACGAAGAAAATATATTTTAAAATGTTGGGATGCCTGTAATCCCAGCTACTTGGGAGGCGGAGGCAGGAGAATTACTTGAACCCGAGAGGTGGAGGTTGCAGTGAGCTGAGATTACACCACTGCACTCCAGTCTGGGGAACAGAGCGAGACCCCTTCTCAAAAAAAAAAAAAAAAAAAAAATGTAGATTTTTTTTCTGTTTTGAGATGTAGTTATAAAATGTAAATTAGAGGATATTTCAATAAACTTTTGAATTATAAGTTAATATATTTCATAAACCATATAAATTAAGTACTATTGAAAAAATTGGAATTATACTTCAACTCAAAAATACCTTGAACTCCTGGCTTCAAGAGATCCTCCTACCTCAGCTTTCTAAGTAGCTGGGATTACATCTGCATGCCACCCACACCCAGCCCCATTATGTAAAGTTTTCATTGACTTATACCTGTATGATTTTTTTCTTTCAATAATTTTGATATGAATGTATCTTTTTTTTTTTTGAGACAGAGTCTCGCTCTGTCACTGAGGCTAGAGTGCAGTGGCACAATCTCTGCTCACTGCAACCTCTGCCTCCTGGGTTCAAGTGATTCTCCTGCCTCAACCTCCTGAGTAGCTGAGATTACAGGCACCTGCCACTTTGGCCAGCTAATTTTTGTATTTTTAGTAGAGACAGGGTTTCACCATGTTGGCAAGGATGGTCTTGATCTCTTGACCTCATGATCCACCCGCCTCGGCCTCCCGAAGTGCTGGGATTACAGGCATGAGCCACCACACCCGGCTGAATGTATGATTTTTTAAGATGAAGAAAACTTTGCCTAGAAATGTCTTCCCTCCTCCCTGACAATTCCTCTCAACAGCTGACTTCCCTTCCATATTGTTAGCTAAAATTACATCATATGCCCATTTAAACCAATATTTTGTGAAGGTATTGACCCACCATGATTGACTTGTCTAAATTGATAAGGTAAATTTATCACAGTTTACCTCCTGGGACTGAGGTTGGAGCCTAGCACACTTCAAGCACATGGACAAGCAGTGTGGTTACTTGTCAAGTTAACAAGGTAAAAGAGACAGTACTGGCTTTTGGAGTAGGCCATCAGTGGGATCTGCCACACCATGCTAAGGAATTTGGACTCTATCTTGTTGGAATAAGACACTACTATGGGACAATAGGATGGGGGAAAAAAAAAAAAAAAAAGGAACTACTGAAGTATTTTAAACCAGGAAGTAGGATGATGAGATTTCCCAATGGTAACAGAATCAAGGGGCACTCAGGAGGGGCATAGGTTTGGAGGCAGGGGCCCCAGTTGGAAATATTCATCAGAAGATCTTGGAGAGGATTTTAGGCACTTGAATTAAGCACCCCTAGTGACTCATTGGATGGAAAAGGAGAAAGAAAATTAGAAGAAAGATATTCTAGAATGACTCCCATACAGGTTCCTGCTCTGGTGAATCGCAGGGTATTTTGTCAAAATGGAGAATATATGGACAGAGGAGGTTTGGGTTGATACGATGGGAGTAGAGAGATAATGAGTTTACTTGGGACAATGGGGTGCCTGAAAGGGAGGTGAAGAGAGATGGGTAAACTTGGAAGGGAGAGTATAGACCACATGACACTCCTCCAAATTCCTTTAGAGGATAGGGTAGGATGGAGTGTGGAGGGAAGGAGAATCCACAAAGGGAAATGAAGCAAAACAAACAACTGGCACTTAACGTGGGACCTGTTGGGCTGATTTTGCTCTGGGCTGGGTATCAAGCACATCTGGAGAAAATTGCAAATGTAATTGTAAGGCAAGCCTTGAAAGAGCAGTTAAAACTCTGTTTTGAAACACAGGTTTATATAATTTGTTTCAACACGTTGAGTTATAGCAAATGAAATAGAGAAATAGTCTCAGGGCTTTTTAATTTGTCCTGCTGACTGGAAGCCACAGAACTCAGCCCTATGAGCTGTTAACCAGATAAGCATGGCTGGTTTTTGTAAAGAATCATGTTTGACAAATGCTTGAGAGCATATGGATTTATTGAAGGAAGTATCATCCAAACCAGACTGACAAAGAAAGTTTTACAAAGAAAATACAATGAAAAAATGTTGAGATTAAAATGTAGGTCTTTTCTGTTTTATGATTTAGTTATAAAATGTAAATTAGAGGATGTTCAAAGAACTTTTGAATTATAAGTTAATATAGTTCATAAACCATGTGAATTAATTACTATTTAAAAAAATAGGAATTATACTTCCACTCAAAAACACCTATTTTATGGAACACTAAAGTTGGAAATTAGATTAGACTTAGAACTCACAGAATGCAACTGCGAGAAATTTAAATAAATCACTCCAAAACATTTTTCTAGCTCTTTCCATGTCTATTTTGTTCTAGGAACTGAACTGGGTTCTGAAATAATAAAAATAACTGGTATCTGTATAGTTTTGTGGTTAATCCCAACTTTATGCAACATTCTACTCGATGTGGTTTCTGGGGGTCCAGATAAAATATAACACTTGAAGCAGAGTGGGGATTGAGGGACAGAGGAAAAAAAACGGAGAACTGAGAATTGAAGAAGAAAGGTGAATTAGGAAGTCAACAAGGTTAGGAGAGTAGTGGAGCAAAAAAACAAAAACAAAAAACAGTAGTCATGAGAACTGAATATAGAAACTGGACAATGGCCAGATCTTATATGACAATTAGAACTCTGACCCACAACCTCTACAGCAACCAGCCCAGAATAATCAGGACTTGGTCAATGATTGTCAGTTTCCCTGTTTTTTTGCACCCTCCTTTCTTCAACTCAGGACCCACTAAAGACAGTCAAATATGCTACCCCAAATCAATCACATAAGGGACTCTGCTTTTGTTAGTCCACCTCCAGCTTTCCCATGCTAATACCCTAAGTCAAAGCATATATGAAACCTTCCCTTTTTGTTCACTACTAAGCTTTCCTGGCCAGCTGCTCATGCCTATAATCCCAGCACTTTGGGAGGTTAAGATGGGAGGACTGCTTGAGCCCAGGAGTTCAAGACCAACCTGGATAACATAGTGGGACTCCATCTCTACAAAGAATAAAAAAATAAAAATAAAAATTAGCCGGGCATGGTGGCATGTGGCTGTAGAGCCCAGGTGGAGGTGGGAGGATCACTTTCCCAGTAGGTAGAGGCTGCAGTGAGCCATGATTACACTACTGCACTCCAGCCTGGATGACAACAGAGTGAGACCCTGTACATAAGTAAGTAAATAGTTTTCCTGCTGTGCTGACAGGCTTCGGGTCGGCCAAATGTAAGTGATGGTGACTGACTCCCTTGTCATAGCAAGCTTTGAATATAAGCATTTGGGTGGTCTTCTTCCCCCTACATTCATTTATTTGTTTATTAATTATATATTAGTTGTGTTTTATCTGCCAGACAGTGGCCAGTATTGGGAATATTGGAAGCAGATTGTCCCTGCCTTCAATGGTATTCTGTCTAGTGGGACAAATACATACGTATAATTGTAATTCAATGTGCTAAGTGAAACAATAGGCATGTATAAGGAAGGTGTAATAGATCAAGTAGGGCTTTTAGGGGAAGGTGATCCTTAAAGATGTGTGCTAAGGGTGAGTAGCAGGTGATTTGGATAAGAGGCGGGGACGGTTATTCAGGGCAAATGGAGGGGCAGAATGAGCAAAGCCTGAGGCCAGAAACCACAGGGCGCGTTGCTGGTTCGTAGTAAGGAAGTCGAGGGGAGAAGATGCGGTAGGACGGATCGTGAACTGAAATGGATGTGCCACGTTGGAAAGACCTTGGACTTTATGCCGTCCTCCTGGAAATGAGATATAACGGCTGGTTTAAGCAAGAAACACACACACACACACACACGCCATTGCCTTTGTGTTACTGTAGGGTCCAGGAGGGCAGCCACAAAGAAATTCATGATTGGCATAAGTAGACATTCAGTGAATGAATGAATGAACATAAGCACTTTGGTGTAAACGTCATTGTCTTCAATTTATGTTTTTCAAACCGGGCAAAACAAGGAGTTCTGGGTATCGGTTGGGAGGTGATAGGAAAGGTTTAAGGTGGGAGAACTGCCATTCTGGTGGGGAGGGTTATTGGGCACGAAACCTCCAATAGGTTATGGGCAAGGGATGCGCTTTGGTCGCGAACACCCGGAGGCCAGCCCACCGGAGCTACTCTGTCCCGGGAACGGCAGCAGAGAAAGCAACCAGCCGAGAGTTCGCGCTCCCGAGCGAGTAGCTGGCGCAGGACCGCCCAGCGCCACTCACCTGTGCGCTCACCGCCGGCCCTGCAGGCGGAGCCTCCGTACGACGCCTTTCCGATTGGGCGCGGCTCGAAATCCCGGGGCGGGCATTAGAGGCCGAGCGCTCTAGGGGATTGGCCACCCTGGCGGACGGACGTGCTGCTGACGGAGCTGGTTCGTCCCGGCTCGGCTCGTGGCGGGCCGGCCCCTCTCCGTCGGTACTCTGTCAGTCATTGGCTCCCTGCGGTTTCCTTGGGGACGTGGCGCCGCCGCCGGCCCGGGCTCTCCTTCCGGCTGGGCTAGGGGCCGCGGGGAGCAGCTCGGGACTGAGCCGAGCGGTGTCGAAGGAACCGGCGAGCCGGTTGATCCCGTGAGTGTGGGCGCGAGAGGGCTGTGGGACCCCGAGGGACGGGGAGAGGAAGCGGGACCTACACCCCGCCACCTGGGGACGACTGGTTCCTAGAGCACAGAGCTGGCCCAGGAGAACGCCCTGCTCCCAGGATGCCCGGGTAGGGTCCCCTGGGCCTGAGGAACCAGAGCAGACCGAGTGGGAGCCTGGGGAGGAGGTGGGAGCCGTGGAATTCCCGTGGTGGTCTCGTCTCGTGGGCTCAGTCGGACGGAAGCCTTAAATCAAATCTTTCTAGGCTGCAGACGTAGGAGATGCCTGGAACAAGGAGGCCACCTTCTCAGGGCAAAAGAAAAAGGTGACAGGCGTTGAGACCACTGAAGGGAACCCATGGCTAGGTAAGACTGCACACTTTCTCTCTGGTTGGGAGCACAGCGGAGGATGGCAGGCAGGTTGGGGGACCCTGGGAGGCTTTCACAAGTGAGGTTTGCCCTGGAGCTGTACTTGGACTTTGTACCCTGGTCAGTTGGATGCAGAGACGATCAAAGTTGTATTCTTGTGAGGGCTGATAAAATAATAGTTTCCAGCCCATAGTCCAGGGGTGGTGGAGTGAGTCTGCTTGCTCAGCTCTGTGAAGTGCAAGGTTGTAACATTCTTTAAGATTTGCATCTGAGCGAGGCGAGGTGCCACTTGAAAAGGTTAAACAAATAGGTTTTTTGTTTTTTGTTTGCAATGAACTTTAAAAGCGGACAGACCGAGGTCCTTTTGAATCAATATAGAAAGTGAACTTCACAGATGAATACACTTATGCATACATTAGAATACCCTGAAACTTTTAAAAAAGATTAATGTGGGCTGGGAGCGGTGGCCCAAGCCTGTAATCCCAGCACTTTGGGAAGCCGAGGCGGGTGGATCACGAGGTCAAGAGATCGAGACCATCCTGGTCAACATGGTGAAACCCCGTCTCTACTAAAACTACAAAAAATTAGCTGGGCATGGTGGTGCGTGCCTGTAGT